GAAAGCCGTAGCAGCCTATTTATTCGACACGAATTTCATCGCGCTTACCCCGCGCGGTCGCCGAGCGGAGTCCGCATTGCCGCGTGCGTCTAACTGTCATGGCAAAATACGCTCTATTTGTTTATCTTTTACGTTTTAACTTAAATGAGCGTTCAGGGCACTTGGGCGAGGCTTGAATTTGGTCTACGGCGGCCGCGTAGTCGTGTTATTCAGAGGAATTTAAATGTTGTTGCCTAGTAAATAGAATTCAGATTCGACATTAATGTGCATGACGGTGTGGTAACTCCGGTCGCCGCGCGGCGGTCGCGCGAAAACTTTCTGCTCGTGTAATTGGGCTCTAATGGTTTGATCTATCAGCCACGGAGGCAGTTCAATGTCAATCTTTCTTTCTCAGCAATCTTTGCTTTGTAGTCAGGACAAGGAAAAGTTGTTATTTGCGTATTATTGAGGAAATGTACAAAATTTCGGGTTACTATGGACTGCCACGCAAAGGTCCCAGGTTCTATTCCCGGGCCGGGAGAAATATTTGTATGGCCTACATTTAATTCTCTCGTGAGTTTGGGTGTAATTTGTGGTTGTCTATGAGTGTGTCCATGGCATCCGCAACAGGGTTTCCCTAGTGCGGGGCTATGTTGTCGTTTAAATCGTGTTTCCTGGTGTTATTTATAGCAATATTCGTTTAATTAATTAGTGTACTATTATAATTGTTCACACAGGTTCGATAACCGCGGATTACCAAGAACTTGATAAGTAGATAGATACGCCGCTATGATGTCATAGGACAAATAGTCGCTTGCGCATTCCTATAGCAGCTTTGTTGAGATAGAATAAACTTGCTGATAGGTACAACTATGACGATTATGAATTGACGACTATAGCTGCAGGTTTACATGCCAAATATAGTCCGTACCAAATTGTATATTTTCAATATTTAATATATTTAGTATTTTTATTTGCATTCCACAATGGTACAAAGGTGTCGTATAGTACAAAGATCACATGATGGACCCTCTCGGGCACAACATAATAGAAGGTAAGAGAGTAAGTCGGCTGTTTTCGAATTTATCTTTGTGCTAAAAGGTTTTGTTCAGGAATTAATATCGTAATAACATTTATTTATTAGTAAGTCTCTTATAGTTTATTTTTTAAATATTCTATTTTTTGTTTCATTTTTCAGTATATCAGGCAGTTTGATATAAATTTTTGTGAACATGACGTATAGGCTAGAGGAATGTTGGGTTAATCTAGATATACTTAGCATTAATATATTTTTGTGACGCATTAAAAGTTTTGTTGTAATGTCTTGTCGGCGATTAAAAAAAATCCTGATTCTTACGAACAAATTTTCTGTCACCCTGAGACATACGTTGACAAGTCCCATGTGCCTATAATTTGACCCTTACCCTTACTTACCCTTCTAAACCGGAACGCAGTAATGCCAACATTACTAAAGTTACAGTATTAATCTCCGTCTTATTAGTTATTTTTCTGATAAAGATTTCGCGTCTCTACATTCCTCAATTAAACTTAACAAGAACTATTTTAGAACTGACGACATTTTAAAAATAAAGCACAACATAACACACACGTGAAGCGTATACTTTTACATGTTTATTAATAATTATCAATCCAATAGCGTTCTAAAGCGCTCACCGAATAAAGTACATTTTCTATTGAAGCCAGTTACCCGATGTCAACATAAGAGTTCAAGTTGAATTGCTACGTTAAGTCAATTTAATCCTTATTGTCTTAGTCCTAAGATAGATTCAAGAATAAGCTTTGGTGTCACTGAAATAGTTTTAACACCCTACAGTGTCAGTTTTGTGTAAATATCGTTTATAAATAACCAGGATTCCATTTTGAACTGAAGCTTGCAGTTAACCGCCCAGAAGCGGTACAATTTTACGGGCGGATTATTAGAATTTTGCTTTTGATTTATCATCCATCACACATAAACACAGACGCGCTCGTCTACCACTGGCTACGTTACATACCTCCATAACTTACGTCTGATAACTCTCCCACTTGCTACCTTGAAGTACCTTACCAATTTCTGCCGCCAAACAGTAATGTGTATTACTGGGTTCCAGTTTTGAAGGGTTAAGGGTGCTGGTGGTTACAGGCACATGAGACTTGCCAACTTATGTCTCAGGGTGACAGGCGCAGTGGCAGTGCCCCTCAGATCTTTACGATACGCTTTAAAATCGGATGCAATGCTCACATTACTGCTTGGCGACAGAAATCGGTAAGGTGGCAGTACTTCTCTGGACGAATTCTTTCACAATATATACGATACTTTTCAATATTTATACAACAATTTGGAGTTTATTTGTTTTGCTAGTTGCAGAAATGAAATGTTACATTGTTTATTAATAAATTCATAATAATATTTTATGCCATCGTTGCATAATGACGGTTTTTAGAGTCGAGTCACGAGCGCCTATGACGAGCGGCATAAGTAATGGGTACGAGATTTTTTTAGACCTAATTATGTAATGATTGCATACGATACTTTTTCTACAACTTAATAAAATAATGAAACAGAACCTATTGGTTTAATGTATATTTTGTTAACAATCCATAACAACAAACGCAATTTTTTTTATAAATTTTAACCCGTTTATTAAGGTACATAAAGGTTCCACCATACAGCCTCTTCATATATCAAGTATATAACCAGAAATAGAGACGAAATGTCATTTAATTTGTTTGAAAAATATTCTGCCATATCATCACTGTGACAACTGCGCTCCGATTGGCCAGCCCGAGTTCGAAACTATTGACGGGTGTCATCAATGTTTTACTTTCAATCAACCAGTTAACTTGAACTTTGCTATAATGGACGAAAATTGCAAAATTACATATTTAATATTTAATTGCCGATGAAATTTGATTCCGTTTGTTTTTTTATTAGATGTGTTGCTTTTTTCCCCACACCACCGAATGGAACAGAACGCCATTGTTAGAGATATTATCTTTATTACAAGAAATACAGAATATTTTTAGAATATACGAAGATATTTACACACACACAGGTCAGTTATTGGCGCTGTCTATATTTCAGTAATAAAAATCTCTATAACGATTCATGTGTGTGATATAAAACACTCTGCCATTGTGCTGAGCTACAGACCTTTTTATCTCACACCACTATTTTTACTAAATACTGTGTCGAACTTTTATATTTTGTCTTTTCTTATTAATGTGTGGAGATGAATAAACAATTTTATTATTTATTATTATTATTATCTGTGTTAAATTTACTCCTCTTGTTCTTGTTTTATTCATATTAATTTTAAGAGCGCAAATTACGGTAAGCGAGTGGCGGCCCCCTCACACCTCACCTCCTAAAATCTAAACTCGCGTTCGAATACTTCGCCTTAACAACTAAAAATGGAGGCGCCAATGCCCATCACAATCTTTACGGTATTATTCTTTGAATCTGAAACAAAGAAAACGTATTTCTGTGGTCTCATTTTTTTATAACAAACTACATAAATATTCAAATCCAAAATGGTTTTCACTCTTGAGCCTACCAAATAACAAAATTGCAGAGAAATACCCGCGTGTCATCGGACCTACTTACTATGAGCGTTTACCCGCTACTCTCAGACTTGAACCGTCTGACGAAACATTTAGGCGCCGGCTGAAAGACCTCTTATTGAAAAATCCTTTATACTCTGTAAATGAATTTATGGACCTAAAATTGTAATGATATTGAGTATTTTCTATTTTATTCTAATTTTTACCGTTGACTCTTGTATAATTGTTATCAACTTATGACGATCCTTGATGGAGAATGATTTGATATGTAATTTCATGACAACAATATTATTTAATGAATTTTTAATTTTCCAATTATTGTGTATTTTTCTTAGAATTTTCATTTTGGTCTGACGATCTCAATATAATTTCTTATACTTTGGCATGTAGTGCAATTTATACTGTAATGTTATATTTGAGAAATAAATGAATCTTAATCTGAATCAAGGACAGTCAACAACAAAATATTTGAAAGATTTTGCTTTTAAATGCCAAAATGGTTGTTGGCCATACGCTTAGCTATATTTGTTTTTTTCAAATAAACCCTTTGTTTGAAAAAACAAATATACGCGATTTAAATCCGGAAAAATATTTTCATTTCCTATGTAAGGCCTTACCCTTATTCAGAGTGGTGGCGGGCGCGGGTGCGGGCGCGTGTGCAGGCTCGGGTGCGTGTAAATCAAATGTACCTACGTAGACGCTCGTTGCGTTCATAGTGGCCGCGCGTGAAGGCGGCCTGCCTCGAGGCGGGTGCGCGCTGGTCGTGCGGGTTGATCTATTGTCTCGGTCCGCCCGCACTTTTCACAGTGCTTGGTCTAGCGTCTAGCATCTGTGTGCGAATCGGCGTGTGGATCTACCCGCTCGTAGCCGCTTCAGCACTGAAAGGAAAGATGCCAAGACCCGCGTGCCCGCACCCGCCGCCGCGCCCGCACCTTCACTCTGAATGAGCCCTAACAATCGCGAAAACCTAAGAACTCGATACATACGCTTATTGTATATTTTTTTTATAATATTGCAGATAACAACTCAAACTAGCAAATTTCCTGTGTTATGAGTACCAGAGCAACGGAATTAATTCTGGGGTACTTCTTAGAACACTCACATTACAATCAAATTAGAAAAGTCTTATTTCCTAATTTGGTTCTACCGGGAATCGAGCCTGGAACCTCCTCATCCAGCGCCCACAATATAACCGTTGGACACACCGTGTCAACAAAAATCGTAGTATTTGTAGTATCTCCCTTTGATTTAGGCTTTAGAAGGTAAAGACAAATCAATTCTGTCCGCTGCAAAGATTTTTTGTCACCTAAACGATGTTACCCAGAATTTGATTTGATGAAAGGGAACAATCTCGATCGTTCTCGACGACGACGCTTGTCTTCCACTTTTCCTTCAGTTAAATTACGATAATTAAAGGTCGTTTTCGTTTTTAAAGCTTTTCTCTTTAATTCTTTCAGGGTGGCCACCAACACGCCGCACCTGGTGAGCCTAGGGACCGGCCGGCTAAGTACTGCTGTAACGCTACACCCTATTAAACAAGGTTGGTATTATCATCAAAATGTGAATACATAGATCTAAACAATATTGTTGTCCCTTTTAAACTAACAGGAATAAAAGAGATGACAATAGTTGCGACAGTCGCACCACCAGAGATAGGCATTTGTTCACATTCAACATTCGGTCGATCCTGCCGGATTCGGACCGACCTCTTCTAGCATACGCGATACCAACTAAGCCACGGAACGAACCAGCGGACCTCACGAATTTTTCAATGTGTTTATTGTCGTGTCTTTGTATTTGGTTTTTCAACGACTTTTTAGCCGTAGCGCCATCTATGAGAAATCTATGAAAGTATTTCGTCGCCCAGTTAGATACCTTTACAACTACCAGTCCCGGCTAGAGATGTCGCTATTATCTGTATTTTAAATTTTATTGAATTGATATTCAATTATTTTTTGTGAAATTACTACTAGTTTTGTTATAATTAATAATGATTAATAACTTAATGATATTTTTACAAAATGTTTATTGCTTCTGACCTAGACGATCCGATTTGCCTTTTGTATTGAATCGATTCGCTTCAAAATTGCATTGAAATAAATCGATACAAAAAGATCGTATGTACTTGTATCGATCTTCATAAAAATCGTATCGTAATGTGATTGCAAGGTTGCAAGATTGCACACCACAGATTCCACAAGATTGCAAGGTGGGTATTGTGTGGAGTTGCCCCTTTTTCGTCTTAAAAAGATTGTTTACATCGGAATTTGTAATAAGTAAGAATTTAATCAATATTACGATTTCCAGTGTAATTTTTACATATGAAATAAAGATCATTTGACTTTGATATACGAATATATAATCTAGGAATACAATTACGTATAATATAAAGAGCTATTTATTATTCATCCGCCTTTCTCTGATTTCCAGGTCGGGTGACAATAGGCTCGGATCCGACTTGCGATATTTACGTCGTGGGCACGGGCGTGGCGAGCGTGCACTGTCGCGTGGAGAATTCACACGGCGTGGTCACGCTTTATACAATCAGCGGCAGCACGCTACTCGATGGCCTGTCTGTTGATAAACCTACGCGCCTCTCACAAGGTTAGCACCTTTTTCTCTCCATTACCCAAGCGCATACACGACGTGGTTACACTTTAATCATAACGCGTTTACAGTAGATCGACAGATCGCCTTCGCTTGGCCGCCGAAGACGGCAATATTTCGAGTGTAAACATTAAGAGTATACGACAAATGGATGGTTGAACAATCACTTTGAAAAAAATATATAGTAAAGTCGAAGCTATGCATTGATTACTATACTAAGTGAAAACACGGTTCCTAAAAATGTTCACGATAATAATCTCAGTACAGAGTACTAAAAAAACCGACCTTAAAAGTACGTGAAATTACATCTATTTGCCAAGTTTTATTTGGATTCATCCCCTAGTTCGCTATAAGGAACTTGACACAGACAATAAAAATCGGTTCGCTAAAAAAATTTAGGCGCTATTTATAAAAATGAATTTCTTCAATGGGACCACTATGGAGGTACCCTCTTTCCAACAAAAAAAGAATCATCAAAATCGGTTCACAAATACCGGAGTTATCGCGTGACACAGTGACGTGATTGACTGCCTCCGTGGCCGAACGGTTACCATGCCGAACTGCCACGCAGAGGTCCCAGGTTCGATTCCCGGGCCGGGAGAAATATTTATATGGCCTACATTTATTTCTCTCGTGAGTTTGGGTGTAATTTGTGGTTGTCTATGTGTGTGTCCATAGCACCCGCGACACAGGGTTTCCCTAGTGCGGGGCTATGTTGAGTGTGTGCGTTATTATTATTATTATTATTACATATACACAAAAAAACGGTCGAATTGAGAACCTCCTCCTTTTTTTGAAGTCGGTTAGAAAAAACACAAACTTACCTCGAAATTGTACAAGAAAACCGCTGTATTCAATAGGTACTTTACATATACTAATGATTTTAGTTTATGTCAACTGAACTAAATAGAATACGTATACTATACAATATACATTTTTCAAATGGACTTAATTTCGTCAGTAAAAAAATAAATTCTGAAATAAAGCCTGTGTCCCAGCCGCTCGACAGCAAAATGAGCCGTATTAGTACTAGAAAATTTTGAATTCGAGCTGACATAGTATAGACTTTTAAGTTGTTTGACGATTGTTGTAATCACTGTCGGGCGACTTGGTCACCAAACGATGGTCGACCCAACAAGTTTCAACAAGTTTTCAAGTTTGTTTAATGTTTCGAATAATTTGTTTTGACTCTGTGTCAGCGACAGTCAACGTTGAAAACTGCGACGCCGTCATCAGCAAAATTCGCTTATTGAAAAGGTGGCAGTCGACTCGGTGTAAACAGCGACTCGACCATGCCCCATTTGTCAACCGAATAACCATGCAGAAATTGCGGCATTCGATTCGGTGTAAACAGCGACTCGACTGAGCCCCTTTCGTCAACCAAATAACCTTGCAAAAAATTCAACTCGGTGTAAACAACGACTGGACTTTGCCCCTTTCCTCAACGGAATAAGCTTGCAGAAAATGCGACATTCGACTCGGTGTAAACAGCGAC